GGTGTTTCGCACGCATCCATTCCACAACTATCCTGGAACGAAAAAACTTAGGTAACGGCGCATCAAATTCGCCGGTGCGATTATGCGTTTTCGCGCTAAGCTTGAAGTGGACAGGCTTTTTACAGTATGAGTACTTGTTGCTTTGCATTTAGCCTGTGCAGTCATCACCATAAATACAAATTATGCACGAAGGAAAATAAATAATTTTTGGCGACCGATCATTTATTGAAATTGACCTAGCTGTTCTAGTTCCCAAGTTAACAATTTCCTCGCCAAACGCGTGCCCGTGGCTAATGGATACCAATGCTGAGTGGTATTCTAGTCTCCAACACCGGATGCCCCGATCATTTCAAAATTTGTGCAGAATGATGTGACGATACTGACCTGTTCATCACTGCTTTGATACTGATGTGTTCCATTCGCTTGCATGAAGTTCGGTGTGCCATTTGATTCTGCAAATAAAAAATGAAGTTCTCATTTGGCTCAAATTGCAAAGTGGCTATAAAATCAAATATACCAAGAATATCACGATTACCCAGACCATTGCTGCAGGGATTTCGTGTTAATGATGTTAATACGATACTCCCATACGCCAGGCACAGCGTGCCAGGTTTCGATCCTGGTAGTTGCATTTAATCGTGCGGTTATGGCTGCGCGTCATTTCATGGCAACTGTGTGCGTCGAACTTTACCCTTAGGATATCATTTCACTTACAGACTCAAACACTTTTGCAAAACTCGTCCGACTGTTGCATGTGCTGAGTGTTGCCTATGTCATCCGACTGCTGCTCATTTCAGTACTCAACAAAAGAGTAACTTACGTGAAGCGATACTTAGTTTGGAAGCTGCTGTGCTACTCTGCTCGTTGACGTCGACATCTCCGATTGGGAGATTTATCACATATCGATATTCTCCGTCTTCTGCCGGCTTTAAGAAAACAGTTTGTATCATATCAAAACCTAGGCTGGAACAAACCAGGCATGCCGGTGCGATTATGCGTTTTTGCACTATTTCGTGCTGTAGCAATATCGCAAGGCATCACATTAGCTAGAATTTATGACATACTACCCCCTGAAGTTCAGGAAGATAACTGTGCAACTACGTGGAATGTCAGTTATAGATGTCGATTTCAGTGACCCGAGAAATGGAAAGTTGCTGGTGCGTGAAGGAAACCCTACTAGAAGAGTTGAATTTGAAATTTTTTGTCGCACATGAATTAGGAACCTTCCCTTAAAATTCCAACCTTCCAGCTTTTCTCATTCCCAAGTTAGCAATTTTCCCGCCAGGCTTTACCGTGCCCGTAGGTGGGTCCTGGACATTTCTAAACAGCTGATTTTGGTCGTACATCAGTAGGGAACATTACCCTAAAGTTCCAGCTTTCTGGCTTTTTTCATTTCCCAGTTAGCAATTTTCCCGCTAAAACTTTCACATAGTCGTACACGGGCCACGGCGTGCGTGAGGGTTGGTGCCGTGGTCCTGGAACGGCACTTGGCCGC